TCAAAATAAGATAAACATATCCTGCTCTGAAGGACTGATTTTCAGATTCTCAGGAACTGAAGGATATTTAGAAAAGGCAAGTAATCCTGCAATTTTGTATCTCTTCACACCCCACCAATGTCATCCATTCAAGGTGCGTGAAAAAGAACAGTAAGTTGTGGTTCACATCAAGTTTTGTTGGAGGACAAGATGGAAAATACTAAATAATCACGAATTAATATTTAAAGTATTATTTAAAAAGAGATTTTGCAAGAATAAGACAGATAGAGAACACCCAAACATGTTTTGTTGGAAGAGTTAAAAGAGTTGCTTCCCAGGTAAAATTTTATTTCCTTAGAAGGTAGATACAGAACCAGATCCTGAGCCCCACCCAAATGTGATCTTAGTGCATGGCTGCCTTGACACAGTCTACAAGTGTGAAGCCACTCCCAACCCATCCATTTCACTTATTTTCTGAGCAAATTCAAGACTACTGTGATGCCACTTGCGCTTCTACATCAAGTAGCAGAAAATTTATGCCACACTTTGATGCTGCACATTGGCCAGGAATCATGTTAGCTTTATGGTCCTCTTTCAGTGCTCAAATGCTCTCGAAGACCACTTGGAAGTTAGAATGCAGCTTTATGTGATCTGATTCATGTCAAAATTTGGTAAGTGAACTAGACATAAAGATGCTGTGAACAGGTGTAGTGGGTTGACCTTGGCTGGATTCCAAATACCCACCAAAAGTCGCTCTCTCACTCTCCCTCTGCAATTAGACAGAGGAGAGAAAAAAGAACCGCTGAGGAATTCATAAATAGAGAAAAGAGCCGGGACAAGTCACTTACTGATCATGGGCAAAACAGACTCAAAGTAGGGATAGAGCTTAAATTTATAACTACCAGGGTAAGACTTAAAGAGTGAGAAATAAAATAGTCTTAAAACACCTTCTCCCCCACCCCTCCTTCCTTCCATGTTCTCCCTCCTTCCTTCCATGTTCTCCCTCCTAACCCCCAGCAGTGCAGGGGGATGGAGAAGGGGGTTTGTAGCCAGTTGTTGTTTCCCATGGGGTGCAGTCGAGTCTCTGTACCCCGATGGTCCTCCATGGAAGACAAATATTCTCTGTTACTGGTATTACTCTGAAATAGCTACAGTAATCTGGAGTGTACAGCTTGCCATTAAAATATCAATTCCTTTTTAGTCATAGGAAACCTCAGAGAATTTTTATATTGAATTATAACAGATGCTTCAGTCTTAGAGGTATTCCTCAATAGCATCAAAAAACTGTCATTTTTTCCTCCTCCCAAATGTCAAATGCCACCAGCAAAAGTTTAATTGGTCACTTCCTGCCCTCCAGAGTTTTTACCTTTATTGATCTGTTTTGACAGTCTTACAATGAGACCAATCTGACATAAATTTGTTACCACTGCTATTGATCACCCCCTTCAGACAGTTTAAGTGACCCAGAGTAGACAAAAAAGAAAGATTATATAGAGCAGTAACTGAAGGAGCCATTTGTTCCCTTTCATAGGAGGAAATGTCACAACCCAAAAAATCCTCAAGAACAGACAAAACGCAGATTCTCTTATTTCTATAATCCTAATAGATAGCAATATCTACAGGACTTTTCCTACCAGTGTCAGTGATATTCACCTCAGTGCGTTTTCTTTTGTAATCCTGATATTATTATTGCTCTTTGGTGCTTTAGACTAGGTTTGCAGTAACCAAAATAAGGTCAAAGTTTTGTCTATAGTTACCTAAAATTGTTATAAAAGCACAAGAAAGAGGCAAATACTCACCGCTTAACAGTAGTTGGACCACAGTCCCAGGCTTTCGAATCCCAAATATTCAATGGCTTAGCTTAACAATTTAAGTATCATAGGACTTAACAGATATCTCTGGCCATGCTGGTAGTCAAGATGGTCAACTTACTGTCTTAGTTCAGTCCTCAGGAGGTAACTGATTTCTTGACGACAGCAGTACTTCAGTTTATCTTAGAATTATCAAATTTCCTGAGAAGCACCATATATTTTCTGCCTAATCATTGCTGAGTCTTTCCCCTGTGATGTATTTGTACCACTGAGTATCCTGCTTACTGCTGTAGGACAAGGCAGATCCTGGGCAGAAGTTTTTTTGCACCTATGCATTCACTCCACAGATGTTTTTCAATGTAGCAGAGTTTTTAGCTGTACAAATTATATCTGAAAACACACCAGGCTACTAAGTCAGAGAGAAATCAGTGGTTTCTACACAGCTTTTAGCAGGTTTGTGGTGATGATTCAAGAGAGCCAGGATGGCCGTACTTCCTGCCTGACCAATCCAATGGCCTTCTATGATGAAGTGACTCTAACAGTGGACAAGGGAAGAGCTATGGATATCATCTATCTGGACTTCTATAGAGCCTCTGACATGGTCCCCCCTCAGAATCCTTTGTTCTAAATTGGAGAGAGATGGATTTGATGGGTGGACTGTTCAGTGCATGAGAAACTGGCTGGATGGTGGCATCCAGAGGATAGTTAGTGGCCAGTGGAAGGAGGCCCACAGAAAGGTTCAGAGGGCTGGAACACCACGTCTGTGAAGGCAGCCTGAGAGAGTTGGGGTTCAGACTGGAGGAGAAAGCTCCAGAGAGACGTTATGGCAGCCTTTCAGTACCTGAAGAATGCCTATAAGAAAGGTGGGGACAAACTTTTCTGCAGGGTCTGTTGCAATAAGGTGAGAAAAGTAATGGTTTTACACTCTAAGAGAGTTGATTTATATTAGATACAAGGAAGAAGGGGTTTTTTACAATGAGATTGGTAAATTACTGAAACAGGTTGCCCAAGGAGGTGGGATATGCCCCATCCCTGAACAATCTGATGATCTAGCTGAAGATGTCAGTGCTTGTTGCAAGGGCTATTGGACTAGATGACCTTTAAAGGTCTCTTCCAAGCCAAACTGTTCTATGATTCTATGACCTCCAGAGGTCCCTTTCCATTTCAGTTATTCTATGACTGTGTGTGATTCCATAAAATGGAATGTCTCAGGAGCTAAGCACCCTCCTGCTTTTTCAATGTTTTCCCTAAGACTTTGCTTCCTTGTGTCACTGAGCCCTTTAATGTCTGTTGAATCCGTGAGTGCTGGATGCTTCAGACCTAATTTTGGAGATGCATTTTAAATCTGGAAAGGTTTTGTGTTCCTGTTTCTGGCAAAAAACTCAAGATGTCATGAGAATAGACTCAGGGAAGTGGTAATAAAATTCAGGATAGTCTAAAGAGAAGTGACAGGTAAATGGAAAATGTAAATGCCTTGCAACAGAGCTGGGAACCAATTCAACAAAGTGCTATAGTTCAGCAGTTTTACACATCAGTGATGTCATTACAGTGCCTAACTTCATATTTGTATGAATAAACTATGAAGGTTCTGGAAAATCATTTCATCTGGCATATATAATTTTGGGTTAAATCCATAAGCTCACAACAACATTTATGTGAAAAATTAAATTCCTTGCTATGGTGATATTAAAAGGATATAGATTCCCTTAGTTCTCCAAATTTGTCATCAGTACAAGTACAGCAGATGCTAGGAACTGAAGGTGTAAGGGAAAGAGAAGTGGGACAAGACTGCAAAAGTTCCTGCTGAGTGCCAACTTTTTGTAACTGGAGGACATTTTATTCAAAAAAAAAAAAAGTCAAGTCAGATGCGTGCTAGCATTGGTACTGAACTTCAACTCTTAGCATTAAAGATATGTTTCCTGTCTCATTGACTCTGCCCAGAAAAAGAAAATCCCAGCAATACAGCCTCTGAATAGATATTTATCGCACAGGGTGAAGGCAAAACAACAAGAAAACAAATGCAAGTATTTCAGGCGCTGATAAAAAGTACACAGAAGGAGGCACATTTTAATATTAGCTGGGCATTTGCTCCCTCAGCCACACCCAGGTAAAGCAGTGGGGTGCAGTTCTTCAAAAATGTTTCCTGTGTTTTTCGAATGGCACTGCAAAGCATTGTGTACCCAGTGCTTAATGGTTACATCTGTGCTAGTCCTTCATTTGTTTTTTTATTAAACCTTTTAATCTTCTTTTCTTTCTGCTGTTTCTTTCATTCCGTTTCTTGTGCTATTTTCTCACAAATATTTTAATGTCTATTTTAACTAAATTTTGAATTTACACAGGTACTCTTTTTTGTCCACTGTACCTCCTCCTTCCTTGCAAATTTATGTTCATTATCCACTCTTGCCCTACACATCAAGGCTAGTAAAATCGCTTACGCACACATAACCTTCTGACTTTACAAGCCTAAAAACCAGTCTATTTTCCTGACTCCTCATGTGATTTACCACACACTTTCTTTCCCATTGCCCACCACTATCTGCTCCTGTCACAAACACAGCATTTATGCTTTCTTTTTACAGTGCTTCTTTAGCCTGGTGCTGAGCTGAATCCAGGCAGATGTGGTAGCTCCCTGATGAGCACAGCACCATGCCAAGCACAAAAAAAAAAAAAAGAAAGAGAATCTTCTCTTTGGTTTCTTGCATGCTCCCTTCTTTGCCCAGCCCCACATTTCTTTCAGAGCAGGCTCTCTTCTAAGGGTGTTCCAGGACAAATCTTGATCTCTCTGGTCTCTTACACACCACAGGGCAAGATCCATGGATGTGCCCTTGTGTCTGTCCCTTAAACACTTGCTGACTGTGGCAGAAATTATGACTAATATAATTTTACAAGTAAGACAAATCTTCTGCTACCAGCAGTTCTGGAGTGCAAAACACAGTGTTTCCCACTCAGTTTTATCACAGACATCTCCCTACAACTTGTTTGGTTAAAAGCACCTATAGTCTCTGGATATCCTCCAATAACAGCACATGCTGGGGGAATTGGTTCATCACTTGGCCCCAGTTAAACAGATTTGCTCCTCCTTGTCAACAGAAAATATTCAGTTATTACTCAGATTCATTCTGAATTTCCCACTAACAAAAACCTTTGTCTGAATGCAGTAAATAAGAGATCGTAGGTGAATGCGCTTTATTTCAGTCACATAGCTGTGGTTGCAGTGTTACATCAGCTGTATACTACCATCTAGAAGCCTTTGCTTAAAGGAACTTCATCATTTAAAGCAGTGATGTGCCACATAACAGTGCCATTTATGAAGTTGCAACAGAAAGACTAAAACATCTTAGGCACAAAACACTGAAGCATCTTTGACACAAAGCTGTCAAAGATCCCACTCCCAGTTAAATAACACTAAAGTGTGTCATATCTAAAAAGAGGAAAAACTAAAATTTGCCAGCTCAGCTACCACTTCACAAAACTTGATCTTGCTGGTCAGAACAAATCAGGTGTGGAAGATTTACATTTTCAGTACTGCTCCAGAGAGTCGCAGCATTTGTCTCTGCACGTACAAGTGGAATGCAAAGCAATGGGAAAAGCTTTCAGGAAGAAAGTAAAGCAAAGTTCTACTTTAAAACAAGTTTTATGCTCCAGTCTCTTAGCATAAAAAGAGACACACACCTCTCTGAATTTACATCCTTCCTATCTACACTGTCACACAAGAAACACTTTTATTGCATTCTTCACTTGACTGGATTCCTCGTTTTTATCTTGAAGTGATGGTAGCACTTTGTTCAGGCTGCACTGTGCCAGCTACTAGCAATCACACTCTAAAAGCCTTAAGGTGCGTCCCCCAATGCCACAATGATTTGTACAAACTCAGGCTCCTGCTGCTTCTTATGTGTGACTTGTCCTTACGTGGGAGCAGATCCTCGCTTTGGTTTCGAGGCCGAACTACACTCAGCAGTTCTCTCTCTGGTCACCCACAGTCCAAACACCATCTTCAAAGCATTTAATTAGCTTGTGTTTTCTTTAGCCAGCAGTGTATGGACAGATGTGAAAAATTAGCACAGTTTATTGCTCCATATCACCCTAATGAAGAGTGAGAGCAACAAAACTCAGCCTGCAGTGTACAGTACATCTTGGGATCACTGCCTACATGGTTAAACACTAAGTAAACACTAAATCAAGAAGGACACTTTTAATTAATCTCCACAGTTCACATAAATAGCAAACAACTGTTCAATAATAAGGGACCCAGAAAAAAGGATGTAAAATTACAGTTTCTAGTATGTAGGCCATTTATCTGCTGTCTTACATCTTAATTACCATTATTTATTATGGAACTGATAAATATGGTTCTGGAATTCGAGACAAAAGACTTGAAGGGAAAAAAAAAAAAAAGGAGATCAAGCAAATCCCAAGATTTTGTTCTTACAGACTTAAGCATTACAGACTTTTTTTAATTTCCAAAGTTTTTGCATTTTCCTGCTTTGGTGGGATTTCAGGATGAAGGAGACCAGAGGAAGAGGTGAAGTAATAATATCCAGAACACTTTTAACTTACAGTGACAGGCAAATGGAAACAATTTAAAGTACCACTGGAAACTCATTCAGTAAAATATTCTAGTTCAGCAGTTTTATATGGCAATGACATCATGAAACCATAACAGAAATATCATGCTGGCTCAAAAATTGCAATACTATAGTAATATATACTGCAAATGGAAAGACCCAAGAAAAAGGAAAATAGGAAAGTGAGATTGAGTCATGACAAGTCGTTTCATTAATCAAATGAATAAATGCTGACAGATGAAAATGTAAAGAAAATTATTCTAAGACATGAAAGGACTGAAAATGGACAACTTTATGTTACTTACAGATGTATGACAGATTATAACCTTCAGAAATGTTCATTTATTGTAAGTAGTTAGACTTAGTGAAACACCTCACTGTGCTGCAATTAAGCACCATAATTATCACTGCTACCATAACGTCACAGCTGTAGAAGGCATTTTTTGCCTTCTACTACTTCTACTTCTCATGTGATTCTCTTTTTAAAAATAGACCAGAGACAAAACCCCTTTCCCCAGTCAGTGTCTCACCAATTTTTAGTCCCTATGCTTTTCCAAAAACGTTAACAGATTTCAAGTTGCAGGAAAATCAGATATAGCCTGCACATGTGTTTTGTTTGTATCTTAAAGCTGGCATCATTCTTTGGGGCAGTATCTTCGGTGTAGCAAACTACATCTTAAGAAGTTAAGAAACCGAAAGAAGTTTAAATTGCCTATTTGCTTAAAAGTTTAAAAAAAGTGTTTGTTAAGTCTCCACAGGCCCTCAGCATGTGCAGTACACTCCTGTGAGTCGTTTTACCAGCATCATAACCTTTTTCAGGAGTCTTGAGGCATTGTTAAGCACACACTAGTGCAAAGGCTCCGAAAGGCACTTTTGTGCACATCCTTCTGGTCTTTGATGAGTGCAGAACATGCCTCTCTCTGTATTGCTTTTTGGGACGGCCGTTTGGTACCTTTTCCCCCACATGTCCCATGATATGGTAGGACCAAGTGAATGGCCCAGGCCCACTAGCCCCACAAAGGGGAAGGAGTGATGGTTTTGCCCCTTTCTTCACAATGCCCATTCAGAGCAAACAGGGAATGGGTGTGGGACCAGGCTCCCTTTCCCTGTGGGGACAGGGAGAAACATGATGTGCATAGGACAACCTACCACTTCAAATCAATGAATCCTCAGTTTGGCACCCTCCTTTCACTCCCTCCAAACACTGATTAATGAGGCCCTTTTGCTTCTCAAAAGCAGCTGCTGGCAGCAAGCACAGCTCTTGTCCCACACTGGCTTGCACTGCCTGTTCACTGCTCCAAGGAGAGGCTACTGGCAGCACAGGCGGCAGCAAGGAGATGACTTGGGCAGAAAGTCATGCCAACTCCCGTGGCTGAGCTTCAAACCTCCCCCTGGCCCTCTGTTTTTTTTCTTCAGCTTGAGAACCAGTGCTTTGATGCAGAGTATACTCAGCAAGTCTTAGAAAGTCCAACCTGCTGTTTTCCCTTCACCCAGGAGATAAAAATGCTGTTAAATCAGTGAGTGGGAAAACACGTCCTCATTGTGTTGTAGGGATTTCTGAGGTTTCTGGGTGTTGAATGCCGAGATTTTTTTTTTTTTTTTTTTTTTTTTAAAGAATGGCAGTGTCTTGAAAGCCAAAGGGCAAGCAGTCCACAACCCACTTCCCAGCAATGAAACCAGGAAACCTATTCCCAGGGTAAGGAGGTTTTGGGGAAAATTGGTCATTATGTTCTATTGTGAATTCGCTAGTCACACATTTACAAATGGACATCATACACACAAAAATTTCACTTTACAATCAAGATTATGATTCGGACTAGACAAAAGCAAACAGTTGATTAGCACAGACATTCCCATCTTAATCTATACATATGTAACATTACACTAACACTTTTGTGCTTTTTTTTTTTGTTTTAATTTTAATATGATCTTCTTAGAAGGCATATTATTCCTTAGACAAACTAACACAAGTTCTCAAGTTATCTCAGGATAGTTATTTCAAAAGACAATGCAATATTTCATAATAAACATTTATAATCAGGTTTTTAACAAAGTAATTCATCATATAAACAAATGAACCAGTCAGACACTAAATAAATATTTTTACTGGTAAATACTAGCATTTTGCTTATATCATGTAGGACCTGATCCTGCAAGCCCTCTGTATACATCTTTATCCCCACTGAATGATTGGTTTCATTGCTTGTTCTAATCTACTATTTTACTTTGAGCTGAGCAAACACTTTCTGGCCACTAAATTAAGTAACTGAAATAAGCACTGGAATACATCCCAGTAGGCAATGATTTCCTTAGATATCTTTGCAAATAATTAATTTTTTTCTTGTTCATGAAATCATCACAAACATTTATCAACAGGCAGTTTTTGATATTTGCAGTGTGAGCTGCATTGGTTAGTTGAGATCGATCAGATAAATCACACATTCCTTGTTCTTGGCTTTCTTATTGAAAAAGTGTAACCTTTGCACCCAACTTAAAGAGTAGTTTCTGAGAACTATTTCATACGATACTGAATTTCACTTTTGACAAATGTTTGAGCTGACAATACTGGGCAATGAAGGCAAGAGCTCCAGGAGAACAACAAGCCAGGAGCTCTCCTTGAGCAGGGCAGAAAAGCATGAATTACCCTCTATCTGTTCCCATCTACAACAACTACTACCCTCTCCAAGGCAAGGGAATGGCCTTATTTTTAAGCATACAAGAAGCAATTGCCAGCCCTTCAACTCTGACTTTACCCAACCCTTTTTAGGGTTGCTTTTTTCCTTGCACAATGAATCCAGAACAGAGAACCACAGATAAGAGACCTACACACCCTCCTTATGCCTTAGGAAATTTGTCAGGATATCCTGTATAAATAGATTTGTCAGTGAATTCCAAACTCTTAGTTGTTGGTTTGGGCTTTTTTTGAAAGGAAATGCAGAAGTTGATGGCTACAGCTGAAACAGTTACAACTTTTTCTCGCCCAGATCCATTTGAAATGTAGTTTAAAATCAAGGGTACTGAGGCTATTGGATGTACCCACTGCATTGTTTTAAGTTTAGCTGAATCGTGATGGTTTCCTGGATGTCTCTGAGTTCTTACCACAGTAAAACATGAAATTTTCCAAGCATGTGGCAAATATCACAATGACTGTAACAAATCACTGCCTGAACTGAAAAAGGGAACGTACTTTGAAATTACTCTGCCTATATATCTATATGTATATAGGGATATACACACATGCACACAAACACATGCACACATATATATCCCTATATAAACATTTCCCTAAAATTGGAAATTTTTTTTATTATTTTCTGTTGGTATCCCTTTAAATACTTCATGAATCCACAATATGACAACTTCAGGCTGTCCGGAGAGATGTATCTGAACACAGTCTTACAATCTCCACTAATATAAATACATTGGCAAGGAACTTTGACCAGCAATAGTGAATTTTGAAACTTAAATAATTATTCTACAACTATTTTAATTTTAACAACAAGTTGCTGCTGAGTACCAACACTCATGGAAGATGTAAAAAATAAAAAAAAAAATAAAAAAAATAGAGCTTTTACTTCTAACACTCTGTAACAAGTGCAGCTTTATGAAAGGAATGTAAAAGAAAATTATGTATTAGAGACTCATTCTAAAAAGAGAAAGAGCAACTTATACTATGTGTTTCAAAATAAGAATACTGTATGCCTGCACTTTATTATAAATGACCATGTTAAGCCATAGTTACTTCTTGCCTGCAAATGAAGGATGTTGGCTCACAAATCTTCCAAAGTGTATATGAATATTTGATTAAATCCTGTTCGTTGTGAAAACAAAGTTCATTTACACTTTGATTGAACAACGATGAGGAGTTTGTTTTAATAATAAGACTTTTAAGGACCTTGGTAGCCAGTACCAGTTGTATTTGCAAGTAGCTCCTCGGCTTTACTCTCTTTTTAAAAAATAAAGGTACAATTATAGTTATTCATTTACTTTAAAAATTCTAAAGATGAAGAAAAGTAGCATTTATACATATAAGTCCTCATATAAATTATAAAACTCAAGTTTATCTTATAGAGTTCCATCCCCAGAAGAAGCATAAAGCACTTTTGTGGTACCTTCACTGGTAAATATTTGTATCACATCAAATCTGAGAAATGCAACAAAGATGATACTGCATCTGAAAGCTAAAAGAGAACATTCTTCTGATACAGTCTCTTGTGATGGATATGCTCCATGGTATTATACGATTCCCATGACTTGACGGAATTTCAAATAAAGGAAATATGAAGGAGTTCACCTCACCAGTTCAGTAGGTATGAGAAACATCAGTGAACAGCAGAGTCATCTCGTTTGAGGTCAACAGTCTTTGGAAGACAATGAGGAGGGAGTTTAAAACTACAACAGCAAAATCAAATAAGACAATAATGAGGTAAACTCCCTTAAAAAGGCCAAATAGGCTGAGATGTCAGGACAGAGTCCAGTTGTACCTGACACCCAAATGTTTCTGTAGCCAGAGTCCAGCAAGCTGCATGGTAGAGGCAAATGTGCTTGCTTTCGACCCTAAGCACATTTTATATTGTTTTGGATCTAAATTGGGGTCACACTGAACTGGATGGAAAATATGAACAACTCCTACTTCCTGACTTCTGAAAGCCTTCAAGCCAGATGTTATCACTTTAGTAAAGAGGTCTACATCCTCAAGTCCCCAGCCTTGAATAGAGGTATCGAATCCACCAGCAGTAAGCAGATCACTTTTGTAAATACAGGTAATTCCAAATCCATACTCCCTCCAAAATCCAGTTCTTTTTGTGAAAACAAAACTACTGTCAGCTGGAGGGTTGTCTCCATATATTACTTTTGGATCATATTGGCTAAAGATGATAGGATAATAAACCTGTTCTCCCTGAATAGTGTTATCTCTGCATCGCTGGAGGAAGTCTGGCGTGAATACCAGATCAACATCACAGAATAGCAGCAAAGTGCCATTGTCAAATTGAGATGAGGCCATCTCAAGACCTAAACCTCTAGAAAACTTTCCTGCCATTGGAATCAGGGTCATATCTGCCTTAGGATACTTAATGCTGTATTGTTTCATTAGTTCTATGTGTTTGCTAGAGTCTTGGCCCGGCTCGGAACTGAAGAGAATTATTGCCAACTTTACATTCTGCCTGGGAATCAGACAAGTCTTCTCAAAGTTATCCATAAATCTTGAGAAAATATCAAATCTTCCTGTGATAGGGACAAGGATATGTATTTTCTTGTTACTGTGCCCCCCAATGTCTTTGGTGCCTTGCAACGATGAGGAAAAAATCTTTAAAGAATTCGAAAGGAAAGAGAAAGACTGAGTGTCAGTGTTGGTATCCTCCAGCAAGCTTCTTACATCCAGCTCTTCTGCTTCTTTGAAGAAAGGTTTGCTAAACAATTGCTGAAGGTAAGCATGGCGTCTCACTGGAACAGTAACTTTCCTTCCTTTGTGCCTTTTGTACAAAAGCAGTAAATCCAGGATGTACTCCACTCCATGCAGAGGGTCCACCCTGCGGTAGCCATACTGTATCTCCTTGAAATCAATGAGCCTTCCTCTAGACCTAGAGTTCTCGTTGATCATTTCCATTACCTGCATCACGGTATCATCCAGCGCGGCCCGCAGGACGCTGCTCAGGCTCTGCCGGGGTGGCTGGTTCTCCACCATCGAATACAAAAACTTTCCTGTCAGGAACTCCCACTCGATGACTTCACCCCTTTCACGTGGCTGGAAATGGTTGAAGGACGGCATCCCCCCCAGCTGCTGATCTTCCTTATTTACCTCAGTGTTGCTGAGCTTGCTCATCAGGGCACTTTCCCGATGGAGCTGGATGGTCCGATAGCGCAGGTCGGAAATCTTGCGGCTCAGGATGTAGTTGTGCAGCCTGTACTGGTAGGCTGGCCTTTTGTTTGGATGGAGTGTTATGGCTGTGTGAATCTTGCTGTTGTGAAGGTCTTGAATGTAACCCTTGCGGTTGTGTTCGTAGTTTTCGTGGAACAACTGCTGCATCTAGAAAGAGAGAGAGAGAGAGAGGGGTGTAGGGGGAAAAGAGATATTAAGTGGAGGTGCTTTTACTCACAAAAGGACTCACACTGGCATCATGCTGAGTATTACCAATTTTTATATAGATTAGGGTTATTTTAAGGCATAGAACTTCAAAGCATTCAGCAGGAAATATTTACACTGTTTTGGTGCCTGCTCTAGTAGTGCCCACAGTAAGCAAATACCATCCTCTACCTAAGTGAAAAGGTGGGTATCTTGGGTTTATCTGTACTTCATCTAACTGCAGAGCTACACTAACACCTACTAACTGCAGAGAAATAGAATTATTTCCCATGAGTGGTAGATAAAGGAAAAACGGCTGGGTTTTTTGGTTTTTTTTTAATCTGCAAACAGACTGGTCTGTAATTAATACATAAGGAAAATGTGCTAATTAGATTGAAAATGTTATTCAATGAGGTGTTGTAAGCTTGAGCTACAATCGCATTTTGAGATGGGTATTGAAGTTTGTCTTTCATACACTGAAGAAATCATGAGAGATAAGTTCTGATTGCATAAACGTCTCACACTCAAAACATTCATCTTCAATTCTGTCAAGCACAGAAGTTTTGCTACTGGAAGTAATACTAAGCATAAGGCAATAAATGCAAAATAACTCCTAACAAAACTGAGAACCATGAAAGTTATTGAAACCATTAGCATGTATGAGAAACAAACACTGTCACACTTAATAACCAGAACTTTAATACAAAACTTCAAGAACGCCTCTCCCATCCCATTCAAATGGCTTCAAATGGCTCTGCTTGAGCAAACATGGTTGCTACTTAGTTAGATTAAAATTTTTGAGGCTACAGTCATATAACATGTAGAAAAGCAACAGTCTAATTCTGAGAAATACCTTAAGCTATCTTAAATTTGCCTCTAAAAAACCAGCTATCTCTTGTTATATTAAAGCAATAATAAATGTGAAAAAAAAACATACAAAATTACAACATGACTCAAATACTCTTTACTCACAAAAACTCCTCCCTAAAGCTGTCACAGAACATTTGCTCTGTGTTGGAAGGTGAGTGTTTTGCTTGTTACCTACCAGAAGGCAGGTGGGCTCTGCAGAGGGACCTGGATAGACTGGAGAGATGGGCTGACTCCAATGGGATGAAGTTCAACAAGGCCAAGTGCCGGGTCCTGCACTTTGGCCACAACAACCCCTGCAGCGCTACAGGCTGGGGACAGAGTGGTTGGAGAGCAGCCAGGTGGAAAGGGACCTGGGGGTGCTGATCGACAGGAAGCTGAACATGAGCCAGCAGTGTGCCCAGGTGGCCAAGAAGGCCAATAGATCCTGACCTGCATCAAGAACAGTGTGGCAGCAGGAGCAGGGAAGTGATCCTTCCCCTGTACTCTGCGTTGGTGAGGCCGCACCTTGAGTATTGTGTTCAGCTCTGGGCCCCTCAGTTCAGGAAGGATATTGAGGTGCTGGAGTGGGTCCAGAGAAGAGCAACCAGGCTGGTGAAGGGACTTGAGCACAAGTCCTATGAGGAGAGGCTGAGGGAGCTGGGATTGTTTAGTCTGGAGAAGAGAAGGCTTAGAGGTGACCTCATCACTCTCTTCAACTACCTGAAGGGAAGTTATAGCCAGGTGGGGGTTGGTCTCTTCTCCCAGGCAACCAACAACAGGACAAGGGGACATGGGCTCAAGCTCTGCCAGGGGAAGTTTAGGTTAGATGTTAGGAAGAAATTCTTTACAGAGAGGGTGATCAGGCATTGGAACGGCCTGCCCAGAGAGGTGGTGGATTCACCATCCCTGGAAGTTTTTAAAAAGAGATTGGACATGGCCCTTAGTGCCATGATATAGTAATTAGAGTTGGATCAGGGGTTGGACTTGATGATCTTGGAGGTCTTTTCCAACCCAATCTATTCTATGATTCTATGATTCTATGAGATGGGATGAAATGAGATAAAATGGATCAGGGATAGCAACTGCTGTCACAGAGAATAGGAACCAACACCATCAGTCCTGTTAATGTTTAAACCAGCAGTGCAGCAAAAATTGAAATATGGCTTCCTTGAGGACAAGAGATGGACACGGGCAGATTAGAGACTGAATTGGAAAAGAGTGCCTAGGAAAGGGCTTGGTGATGATATTTTCTCTTTGGAAAAAAAAATCCAAAAAAACAACCAAGCAATTTTCTCTTCTCCCTCTATAATTTACATTTTGAATTATGATAAAAGAACAGCTGATCTGTTTAGCTTTCAATCTCTCCAGTTATAAGGCAGACTTCCTTCCTGGCCTTTTATACTTTAAAGTTGCCTGCGGTGAGCTCTGCAAGGTGAGTGTGCTTTTGCATTCTACACTTTTTCTGGAAAAAGTTGAAGCCACGGTTTTCACACCTAGGATTTTATGGTAAAGTCCCCTTATAAGAAAATAAAGAAAATGTGCAATGTTGAAAATAAAAGAAAGAAGGGGAGGTTGTTTTGCAGCTGAATGGTATAAGCATCCTTTCTCACAAAGCCTGACACTCCTCTCTTTCCTAAATCCTCTAACGAAGAATGGTATATGAGCATAAATGAAACAACCATTAACTACCTTCACACATTTATCTTAAGGGACATGATATTACACAGTAAGTTTTTTTGAAAGTAGTATACCGTATTTTATCCAAAAGATTTGTAACAGACAACAAGCTATTGCTGTAAAGCTAAATGCTGTCCTCCAATTGTGCAAATTCTTCTGTAACCCTCAGCTTACTACAAAACCAGCTTCATAGCAGACTTATTAGCAGCCTAATAGAAATGTTCTATTAACGTAATACTGCATTTTTCATGCATTCCAATTTCAGACGTCTTGGTTTATTTCATGTGCTCCACTGAAACCACAGAGAGAGGATGTACTACATTATACTAATGATTTTGCTTTTGCCAATCAACAACAGATTAACAGCAGCAATGAAAAAAAATTGAATCAACTCGGCACTATAGTATTTTCACACATACAAAAACCTGTACTAATCCATTTTCAATTATGTTACCGAAAACTTTTAATAGAGATCAATTTGGAGAAAGCAGTTCAGAACAAATACGACACTGAAACAGTAAACTCTTCCTGAAGAGAGCATGTTTTAATCTTGGTGCAATGCAGAAATTTGTTTTCAATATTGCAGTAAGAAAATGTCTTTTTACAACTCAAATTATTAACATCTAGTTGAAAGCAATTCAATTTGATCCTAACTTTGCTGTGAAATTTCTAAGCAAGGTGCTCAAGCCCCAGAGGCAAAGGGAAGAATGATTAAATTTCCTGGAAAATGGATCTGTGTGAGAGCCTGAATTGGTAAATGCAGTCCAAAATGATCTGAAAAAGGAGGTGGTTTGGGAAGTGGCAAGATTTATTGAATATAAATTAGAATTACTCAGCATGCTGAAAGTAAACCTTCCTATACAAATTTTCATGGTTTTGAATGGCAAGGTAATAAAGTAGATTAAATTCTGTGTAGATAAATGCAAAGTGTATGTGAAGAACACAGTCCTAACTATACCTGAAGAAAGTCAGAGTGAGTGCAACCTGTTAGGACTCTGGCAAGAGAACCCAGTTACACAGTATGCAATTTGGTGCAGGTATCACACTGAGGTTCAGTAGTGATTAAAGCAAGTAGCTTGAGGACAGGACTAGAGTGAATCAGAAATATCATTACATATTGTGGCCGAAGTGCACCTGAATCTTGAAGGCTGTGGGCAAGTCAATATCGTGATGCCCCATCTGAAATCAATCACACAGAATCACAGAATATTAAGGGTTGGAAGGCACCTTAGAGAACATCTAGTCCCAAGCCCCCCCTGCCATGGGCAGGGACACCTCCCACTAGACCAGGCTGCTCAAAGCATTATCCAGCCTGGCCTTGAACACTGACAGGACTGGGGCGTCCATAACCTCCCTGGGCAGCCTTGTTCTAGTGTTTCTCCACTTTCAGTAAAGAAAAACAGAGTAATCCAAAGGCAGCCAAGCCCGGGATCAATGAAGTCAGCGTAACTGAGCACCATAAGGAAAATGGATAGGAACGGTCACCATCTCTTCTCACACAAAGAACTATGACAACCTACTGGAATGCACTCAAGACTCAAAAACAGGAAAGGAAATACACAGCTCAAGCACAGATCTTACTGGGACAGCAAGCTGCTGATGGTAAAATTTTGGATGTCTTTAAAGAGCAAGCCAGCAGTTTGTTGGGAGACTTCAACCATTGCTATGAACTCCTGGAGCTCCAGCTGAGGATGTGTCAAAACATCTCCTTATTGCCCTACACCCTTTCCTCAGCTACTGGTTACTGCAGAAAGAGACTACTTTGCTAAACGAACATTTAGTTTTACCTGATACAACCACTTCACGTTCACTGAAAGCAGGGTATGGGAGAATTAAATTCAGTACAATACATGGAGGCACAACAGTTTTTTTTCGTATTGCATGACTTTGTGACTTCCCTGAATAGTTTGCTGTCATCTGAATGATTCTTACATCACAACTAATGCAAGAGTTGGCAAGGACTTCTGCTTGCCTCTTTTCATCCCAGCTGAAACTATAAGTTGGCAAGAAATGCTAATAATCTAATCATGCTCTGAGGAACTTTGAACTGCAAGCAGGAATTTAAAAAAAAAAAAGAGAGAAAGAAATCACAACAAAGACAATGCTTTATTTTAATGGCAGAGAAATACAATAGCTAATACGTAAGCACAATGTAATTTGCATTGCAAGCTCTGAAACCATTGTAGTTGTTGTGATTTACTGATGTAATAAAAAAGGAAAGTTCTTATTACATATACACAAAAGCCAAAGCCAACCTACTTTATTATTGCAAGACTATTACATATTGAAAGAATGAAGGCAAATGGTGCTTTACTAATTAACACAATTTTTCTTTGAACATTAAGAACAGTTTCTCCAAATTAACAGAGAAGACATAAAACTTCATCCATCCACCCTAGCTCTTCTTAAATCCACAGTAGTATTAAACTGTTGGCCAT